CCGGGCTGACCCGTAACCCCCAGACAGTAGTACCCACCACCCAACCCGACCCGTGACCCGGACAGAACCCGTCATCCAGGCTGACCCGTGACCCGGACAGGACCCGTACTCCAACCTGACCCGTGACCCGGACAGGGCCCGTGCTCCAACCCGACCCGTGACCCGGGGTGGTGTGTGACAAGCCGTGAGCACCGTACCTGATATGCACGGGAAGTCGAGCAGGAACTTGCTGCGGCGTCGACGGATGGCTCGCATCATCTCGATCTCATCTGGGGCCTCGATGGCCGAGAAGATCGCCGCCCCCAGCACCAGGAAGATGAGGTATAGCACTATATACGCCAGCAGCCGCAAGTTACTCTTGGCCATTTTTAAAGTCGGCAGCTGAGACGGGTACATATTTTTCAGCGTCTCTGACACCATTTTTCCGTCAACCATTTGGCCCCTAAGCCCCTCCACTTTTACTGTAGTTAGGAATAAGTTGTTGAAAAGTTGAATCGAATTCACGATATTTGAGCACGTTTATTCCACGGTCAACTCGCTGTTGAATTATATTATAAATGATAGATTTTGTTATGTGGAAGGTAAGTATTACTGGTGTAAGTAGTGTTATGAAGCACGGCGGGGAGCACAGCGGGTTAATGTGGCGGAGGAGGAGGTGTGTGGCTGCTGCCTCGCTCACTGCACACTTGTTACTGACGATATTGAACTGCCGGCGACGCGCACTCTTCCCGCCAAAAGACCTTCCGCCGAGGAGTGAAAGTAGTTCCTTATCTTATTTCGTGGTTCGTTATCTTAAATCCATTCACAAAGGTACTTTTTTATTTTAAAAAATTATATTTTTGTGGGGTTTTCGGAAATTACGAGATTAGTTAAACGCTGAAATCCATTAGCAGCTCTAAATTCGTAATAATTTGAGTGTGTGTATCCCTCCGCGGATGTGAGGCGTCGACGCGAAAGTTCACCATCAGGTCGAGACTCGTTCAAAACTCTGTGATGTTATCTCATTTAATGTATCACATATATCACGCCATAATTAACCTGTGTAAACAGCTTACTAGCCGCGTGTCGTTAGAATAAATGTATCTGTACCATATAACATCATACATTTAAGTATGCGTTTTGTGCATTTATATACACTTAATTCATTTTGTTGGGGGACAGGCAGCCAGTGTATATATATATATATATATATATATATATATATATATATATATATATATATATATATATATATATATATATATATATGTCGTACCTAGTAGCCAGAACTCACTTCTCAGCCTACTATTCAAGGCCCGATTTGCCTAATAAGCCAAGTTTTCCTGAATTAATATATTTACTATAATTTTTTTCTTATGAAATGATAAAGCAACCCTTTTCTATATGTATGAGGTCAATTTTTTTTATTGGAGTTAAAATTAACGTAGATATATGACCGAACCTAACCAACCCTACCTAACCTAACCTAACCTATATTTATAGGTAAGGTTAGGTTAGGTAGCCAAAAAAGCTAGGTTAGGTTAGGTTAGGTAGGTTAGGTAGACGAAAAAACATTAATTCATGAAAACTTGGCTTATTAGGCAAATCGGGCCTTGAATAGTAGGCTGAGAAGTGCGTTCTGGCTATTAGGTACGACATATATATATATATATATATATATATATATATATATATATATATATGCGAACAAGCCAGAATGGTCCCCTGGACAATATGCAACTGAAAACTCACACCCCAGTATGTCCGGTCGTGATGGTCAAGTGGATTAAGGCGTCTTGTACATACCAGTTGCGTTGCTTCTGGGAGTATGGGTTCGAGTCACTTCTGGGGTGTGAGTTTTCAGTTATATATATATATATATAAATAAAACTCAGCAGTCTTGTAAACATGTTGAATATGACCGAAAAGGTAAGATTAATAATTCTAACACGAATTTTCTCAATATTTCTTATGTTTCTTTTCACTGTCAATGGTAATTGAAAAATCAATTCTCCAAAATTCATTTTTATTTCTAGTCTGACGCCTGAACGCGTTTCATAATAACTTATTACATTTTCAAAGACTTTAGTTTAAACACACAACTGTAATCTGTAAAAACACATAATACATCCATACTTATACTCGCATTTGGGTAAGGTGATATGGTACAAAAGTTTTGGGTGAAGTGATTGACATTTACACATGACAGAACACGAACCAATGGGTATAAAAGCATAAGAATGGAAGTAACTGCAGAAGGCCTATTGGCCCATGATGTTTCCTCTTGATGCTTCTATATTGGTTCAGTCTAAAGTGGGTAGAATATAGTTGTACATTAATTGGCTGTTAATTGCTGGTGTTGATTTTTTGATGTGTAGTGCCTCGCAGGTTTCGAGCCGCCTGCTATCGCTGTATCTATCGATAATTTGTGTTGTTTTTTAAGATTTGTTGTTTGTTCGTTTTTTCTGCCATGTTCCCCCCTTTTTTATTTTTATTTTTATTTGTTCTCAACACATTTTATACTTTAATCCCAATTAGTATTAAGTTTTAGTCTTTAATGTTTTTCCTGCCCGAAACGTTTTGTGTAATAGTGGCTTTAGGCACTGTATGTATTAGCTCTATCTAGAAATCTATCAATTTTTGTATAACCTCTTGTATGTACTTTACCTGAATAAACATTTGATTTTTTTTTTTAAAGATTTCTCTGGTGATGGTCTGGTTGTGAGAAGATTACATGTTCCTTGATGGAACCGTTCCATCAAGGAACTCTTGACTATTCGGAGGTTGCATGGCTTTTACCTTTTTTTTAATGACGCCATGCAACCTCCGAAGAGTCAACTAACAACATTTATACCCCCTATTAGACTGTTTTACAGAAACTTCTTTTCGATGGCTCATAAAACGGAGGAAAGGGTCCTGAAAGACATTATTGAGGGGAACGTTATCCGTACAGACAAAAATCAGAAAATACCATGGACAATTTACTACAAAAAACAAAAACAGAGCGCCCTGAAGGAAACCAACGTCGTCTATGCCTTCATATGCCCGCTTGAGGACTGTAAGCCCCAAAGAACTCAGTATATAGGCAAAACAACGTCTCTTTCTAGGAGATTAACTATGCACAAACAACAGGACTCCATCAAGGAACATATAATCTCTTCTCATAACCAGACCATCACCAGAGAAATCTTAACACGCAACACAGAAATCATCAATAAATACAGTGACAGCAGGAGACTCGACATCGGCGAAGCACTACACATCAAAAAGTCAACACCAGCAATCAACAGCGAATTAATGCACAACTATATTCTACCCACTTCAAGACCCCGAACCAACAGAGAAGCAGCAAGAGGAGTTAAGGGCCAATAGGCCTTCTGCAGTTACTTCCATTCTTATGTTCTTTATTCCCATATATATATGTGTGTTGTTGAATATGACCGAAAGGGTAAGATTAGTGATTCTAACACGATTCTTCTCAATATTTCTCACGTTTTTCTTCACTGTCAAGGGTAATTGAAAAATTAACTCTCCAAAAGTTCATTTTCACATTTTTATTTATGGTCTGACGCCTAGAAGTGTTTCGCAGAAGACTTCTCACATTTCAAAGACAAATTTTTATGTACTGCGTTTCATGCTTATATTTGTTTTTGGGCGAGATATAGAACAGGTGGTCTATCACCTCACGCAAAAACATTCATGTCATATCACCTCACCCAAAAACAAATATATGCAAATAGTGCAAAAAATTTATCTTTGAAAATGTGAGAAGTCTCTTGGGAAATGCTTCTAGGCGTCAGACCATAAATAAAAATGTGAAAATGAACTTTCAAGGTAATTTTTCCTGTTTTGGGACGTTCACATGTTTAGGGACCTAAACAGGGGCCGTGTGTTGTCGGAAGAGAGTTTGTTATAGTTCTGATAGCATATTTTTGCTGAATTCAGGGAATTTGCAATGGTTGAACCTCATGCACAGATACCATATGCAAGATTGTGGTAGATCAGAGAGTAATATAGTGAGAGGAGAGCAGAGTAGGGAACATAATATTGGACTTTTGAGTGTATATCAACCGTTTTTGAGACTTTTCTGACTATGCGTTGTACAGTATGTGGGTGCTGAAGTTTAGCCTCTTGTCAGTGTGGCTAAGGAACTTTCCTTCAGTTTTAATAAAAATGTTAACATTGTCTACTTGAAGATGAATTTGATTTGATGATTTACTTCCAAATAAAATGTAGTCGGTCTTTTATGCTTAGTGAGAGTTTTTTGAGCGACAGCCATGAATGGACTTTTTTAATCCGTTATTAACAATACTATTTAGTGTGTGGTGGATGGGTTCTGAATAGATGAACATAGTATCGTCAGCATATAGTATAGGTTCAAGAATGTTAGACATTTTGCAAACCATTTATGTAAGAAAAGGAGAGGTCCTAAGATGTTTCCCAGTGGCCCTCTTACAGTTAATGGTAGAATGGGGGAGGTTATGTCACCGATGGCTTCATATTTAGATAGGATGGAATATAGTTCAGAGCAATGCCTCAGATTCCGTAGTGGTGAAGTTTATGTAAGAGGTAGTTATGGTTGACAGTATCAAAGGCCAGGTCAATGGAGAGGCCAATTGGGAACTCATTTTTGTCAAGGGCTGCATAGATTATATCAAGCAGACTAATAATGGCAACAGCGGTACTCCTTTTGGGAACGGAAGCCAAACTGGCAGGGACTTAATACATTGAATTTTACAAGGTAGGAGTAGAGCTGTTTGTAAATAATATTTTTAAATATTTTTTATAGTATCGGTAGATTCGATATTGGTCTGTAATTGTTTGCCAGCTGTCTCACCTCTTTTTATGAACTGGCATTACTCTTTGCTCGGGGACCAAGCACTCTGGGGACTATGAGTAGGTCGACAAGGACAGGACTTCCTGCTGAGCTCCCAGTTTAACAAAGGGCACAAACAAAATTTTGGCTCTGTCTACATGGTAAGTAAACTCTCAGGTTTTGCATATACTGATACATAAATTAATTCAGCTTTCAACATCTTTATTGGCGACAGGAAACTGAAATATATAAAATAAAATTATTGGGATTATATAATGCTAAGTACTCAAATACTATATCACATTTAGGTTAAATAAAACATCATAAGTTGAAAATTAGCCAATTCAAGTGCCTTCTAGTGTACAGCACTAAATAATAATATCCTTTATTATATGTTTTTTTTATGCAATTCTTTCATAGACTACAATATAGTATGGTCTGACCCAGACCATAATAAATTGTCCATATGGACTGCATGGCAAGTATGGTCTGGACCATACGTGCAGGAAATAAGTCCATCCTGAGGAGCAGTGGTCAAAGCATGATAGAAGCAGTAGCGCAGATGTTACAGACCCTCTGCAATGTAATGAAAGCAGTAACGATCACAATGATCCTGTAGAGACAGGATGGTGAATTCAACATACAAGCTCTGGGCTGCGGACAAATGAAAGGTACCAGAGCCGAGGCATAAACTGGTATGGTACGGGGCATAAGAAGGGTCAACAGACAGAGGACTATGCAGGACAGCTATAATTGAGCTTAGATGGAACAAGAGAGTATATTTTATCAGCTCCCAAGCAAGTACAGAATATAACTAAGGTGAGGGGGCTTTTGAGCATTTAACTCAGATGTAAGCAACGTGAGGTGACCCAGAAAATAACAGGTTTAAAAAATGAGACTCCATGAGTTTCATATCCCCTATACACACGGGAATCACCAGTGACAACGGGGGACAGCATGCCTAATGAGGAGAGCCAATTAGACAAGTTAATTGGCTCAAGTTGGTCACACTCGACTTCCTTTTTTTTTACCTGTACCCTCGCCAAAGAAGCATATTGCTCTCCAAGGGCTGCAGCCACTGGGTAGGCTCAGTTCTACCAGACGAAGGACATAGGAGGAATGCATGGATCTCCATGTATGGCAAAAACACGGCAGTGTATTTTGCTTGTTCACCATCACAGCACACAGGAGGAGCAGAAACTACCCCTTCCTACCTGCATCAAGGAACCACCCACTGAGGAAGGGGGCACACTAAATCATATTGAACCGCACCATACTAAATCCCAACCCAGTATCTGTTCTAATGTTTTGTCCCATGGACTTTCACTACAATGATATTTCTCATTTCAGCCCATTTTCTAATTTAACTATAAATTTGCATTTACAACTTTTTAATATTTTCATAGTGTTCAAAGTTTCACCACCTATATCAAAAGCTTTTTGAACATTCACATTTAATATTATTATTAGATCCACTCATCAGTTTGATAGATATTTCAACTCTGCAATTTATCCCTGAACCTAATGCATCATTACCCAACTACAGCATCTTCAACAACTTTCATTAAATCCAATATTGGAACAGCATTAGCGACGGTGACTGAACATCTGGTAAACATTAGCGATGGTGATCGAATATTGGGGTAAAGTTGCCGATTTTGTCTTGTCACTCAATCTCGAACATTTCTGACTAATCCATACATAAATATTTAAGAGCACCAAGGTAGCAGTTTATGGCCCAGGTAAACTTCAAAAATTTATTTTGTACTGTACTTGTTTCACACATCAAAACCTCAAAAAACACAAGCTCTGCCTGCCAGCTTTTTTCTTGTTCAAAGCATTTTTTTTTAACTTAAAAAATGACTTTTTTAACTTCCAGAAAATTAGCCAGCTTATAAAAAAATTTCTATTCTTAGTGTTTTACCTAACCCCAGACAAATTGGGATATATACAATTTATATATTACTAAACTTTGTACAAATAGCATATATAAAACAAATTAACATAATACAGAACAAACACATTTACTTTAAACTAGTATGCAGACGATTATCCTCAACATCTTTTACAGTACATTACTAATGATTACACATTTGACACTGATAATCAAAATGAACACAGTTTTCTAATTCCTGGTCTATGTACAAGCTGAGCTACTGACAGAAATTGTGCAAAACAAAAAATGATAAAATATTTATTACCTTAAAAAAGTGCATTCTAATCCCTAATTTTGGCGTCTGATACACGAGAAAGATCGTCAATCTTTTGAGTTAGTAATGCAGTGTTCTGGTCAACCCATTTTAATGTGTCCATGTGAGCTGATAAAACACGTGCCACAGTATTAACTGGATCTGTTGCTTGTGACCCAGCATTGTTTGTATTCAAGTGTTCAATAATTTTGCACAAGTCATCAGTCATCTGACGAAGTTGAGAATCAAGGCTCTGAAATAAAAAGATTTTTCAATAACCACATTATAAGGAACAGGTGGTGTTCTTCACTTAAAAGTGGGAGATACATTATATAACTACAGCCCTACTCAACAGGAACTTCTCAATATAAATGTAACACACACACACACACACACACACACACACACACACACACACACACACACACACACACACACATAATGAAGAAGAAAGAAATACTTTCAATACAACTTGGCACTATTAAAAAAAAAAAAAGTTCCAAAGTGTGTGTACAAAATGAGGATTTCAGAGCCGGACCCAATGTCAATTCCATAGCACGCCATAGAATATATAGAGGAATCTCAACTCAAGACGAAGTGGAAAAATTACTCAAAGGGCTAAGAAGATTGAAGAATTATCATCTGCATCTAGATTGTGCAGTACTTCATTTAGTGAACCAATCCCAAAGAACTGCATAATATGCCTGACCCAATGCCTTGCAAATTGTGAGAGAGGATTTAAATATAGTATATACCATATTTTTTGGGGTAAAAGATGCACTCATATTTACAAAGGTTTTTTGTCGGATTTTTTTTTTTAATGTTTAAAATCACTTTCATTAAATGTATTATGAGAGTGCAGCTGCCCTGTTATTTTACATTAGATATGACATTGAGCCTTGTTATGACAATGTGACATATCTGCCTGAAATACAGCAAATCTCTAATCCATAATGGCCTCACCTGTGCAACATGATGCATGTTTTCTCGTTGCCGGTCTCCTTGATGTTGTGCTGGAGTGGTGGTAGCTGCAGCAACCTCCAGGGGCTCTATTAGCTGCTCTAATTCTTGTTGTTGACCTTGGATGAAGTCCAACTCTGCCTGTAGTCTAGTCTGATCAGTCTGAATGGTGCAGAGAAAATGTCATAACAACATGGATGAAACAAACCAACGCATACATGAAATGTAATGCAAGTGACCGTTTCAGTACATCCCGGACCCTTATGAAGACTTGTGTCACAACTTGACAAGGGTCCTGAACAGACCAAAATGTTGTCACCATCTTATTATTTCACATGTGGGTTTGGTTATTAGAGTGAATGGTGATCATACAAACAAGTCTTTGCTTTTTGAAACAACAGACATTCGTAAGTTTTATAGATGCTGTACTGTATATGCCAAACTTACAATAAAGTCCTTACACAGCACTGTACATAATTTTTACCAATTTTACCTACAAAATCCCAGCATTAAATTTAATGAAATGCCAAGTTCTGGAAGAGACCCTAGTGACTCCTTGCTTCATACTAAAAGATCACATTAGATGTGGAAGTTGTGTTTACACTACCGGGCACAAGAGCTAGAACCTGCCCCCCTCCCCTCACAGAGGCACAGGAAGTAGGTGACAATCTGCCACTACACCAGGAAAAGCCTTCAGAATGTTAAGAGGAGCTTTACAGATAATTAGAGGGTTCACAGAAAATGAAGCCTCAAAAACTGCCAAACAATTCACACAGAATAAGGGATTTACTCAATGAAATTCCACGACTGTCTTATGTTGTGCAAAGGAGTGCTCGACGATATGTAAATCAGTGTGGAATCTCCAAAGCGCAATCCATAGGTGTGGATTAGTGACAATGATGTCACTAATATTTGCAGTGACATCAGCATGAGATACCAGTTTTAAGCTATGTATTACTAAGCCCCTACACACTATAAATTTGATGTGTAAAAGAACCCAATAGGATGACTTTTATAGTGTATCTTTGGCACTGATCCTAGATGCTTTGCTCACATCTAGTATATCCAAGCTTGCATTGCTGAAGTCTTCTTCCATTGCAAAGTGGTGACATTGCACATAATTGCAGCCAGGACAAAGTAAAAAGCCACATTATGACTATGGGCTGTCTATCACAGCTGGGATTATCTCAGCCATTATTTTTATCCAAATATTTTTGAAGTTGTGACAACTAAAATCTTTAAACTCATTAACCAATAATCATCACCATACACCACACATGAAGAACTAAGCAGCAATCAAATTGTCAATTGTTAAATATTGTTGAATTTTATCATTACAACAAGTAGGCATGGTTGCCCATTAAAGTGTTTTGTGCAGTTTGGTAAGTGGGCCATACCGGAAAATGCACAGCAGAGTCTTGTGAGACAATTTGACATCATTTGAATGAGTTCTAACCTAAGGACTGTGATTACACTGGATAAAGGTTTATGAGGCACTGCACAATATTAATAAAAGCCCATAAGGCACTGTTACCTGGTTCTAAACAGAGACTACTATACGGTCTAATGTTGATTCTAACCACCTCTTTTTGTAACATGGAACCTCTTGTCGAGTTTCTCACACACCTTGTTACTTTCCGTGAGGATGTTTCAGACTCCTCAGCAGGGAAAGGTACGATGTGCAAGAGTGGGGGCAGGAACAGTGCGAGAGTGAGGGAGGGGGAAATTTGAGGGTGGAGGGATATCTATCCCCAAGATACTGTAGTAATAACTGCCCCATTTTGTATTGCACTTCTGCTTGGATCTTCTGTCATTTTGTGGGGGATTATAGATCATTACTAATATCTTGAGCCCTCCCATTGTTAGGGGTTACTATTATGTAGTAGCTGAATCCTTCCCAACTTGCAGTGTGAGAGTGAAGAATGTGTGTTTTGTGAAATATCATTGTGGAAGAGTATGTGTGTTTCTACTAAATATTCAGCAAAAATAGAGATCATTGGGTGAGAATAATGCTCTTCTTTGACTAACCTTAACCTTATTCAGGGTGTCTCTGAGATGCTGGACCTGGTCATGACCTTGCTGGAGGAGCTGGTCCCAGGCATTAACATGGGCAGCTTGCCTCATCAACCGGTCTTCTTGTTCTTTTAACTCTGACACCCATTTGTTAACCTTCTCCTCCAACCCTGCAACACTCAACGTTGGTGTAGCTCCGGGGAGCGTCACAGCACCGGTTGCATTGCTTGTGCTGAAAGGTAGTACAGGAAACATCATCCAATTGCTCTAAGGTGATGAAAGCAGGTAGTTCCTACAACTAGAACAATAGATCACACAAAATGTATGGAGTATGAAAAAATTACACCAACATTAACTTTTTAATAAAGTTTGTACACATGACAACACTCATTCATAACCAATTGACCAACATTCACATACTTTGTCACTTGGCAAGCCACTCCACAAGAGGACTGAGGAATGGATAACACTACATAGCTTCTATTCCTCTGATTAGCATAAACATATGAAATATTAATTGCAAGAGCTATGATACAAATATTACAACTCACAAGACCTTTCTTGAAAAGATCTTACACAACTTGCAAGGTTTTTGAGAGTAGAAATGTGAAAGTATGTAAGAAACTAGGTACTTTAAATGAAGAATGGTTTTTGGCCCATACAAGGCAGCTCATATTTAAACCTAACCAAACTCAATTATACATATGCAACATTCTTTGAAACAATCTTGCAATCTCACGTCTATCTTGTTACCCGCTAATTTGTTCCATAAATCAACCAAACTATCCTCAAACCAGCTTTACCCAAGTCATTTCAGAACCTAAGCTTTGTATCCATTTAAGTAGTGATAGAAGAGAGAAAGTAATACAACATTGCATTGGGAGTGTCAATGACTAACTTAAATGTGGCCAGTGAACCACATTAAAAACCACATTTAAGTGAACCACTTAAATGTGTTTTCAGTGAACCCTTCAGTTGTCTGTAAAGGTTCATAGACTTTCTGCATGCTCTCCTGGTAAGATGGTGAATTGTTACTCGCTCCCTGCTCCTTTGAGGGGCCTGGCTCTGGTACCCTGATAGGCCAAACATAACTCCACTGAAGCATCCTATTAGAGTGAGCAATCTCTGGAAGATAGCTTCAGGTAGCTAGTAAGGGGAAGGTTCCCACAGAAATAATTGTTTTCAATTATGTATATACTGTATATATAAACGTAATTACCTAGTTGCAGTTGTGAGGGTGACAAGAGCAGTCGTAGTGGCAGCTGGTGCAGAAGACGCAGGTGTCGTGCCAACAAGGGAAGATGAACCTGGCAAACAATTCACTAGTTTTAGATTACAATTAAGCATTAAACAGGCATGGTTTGTGTGTGAAAGAGCATTCTGAAAATATACATAAAACATTATGCTAAAATGATGAGGCTTGGATGGTCACACACACACACACACACACACACTGTTCATGACTTTTGTGAGACCAAACTTGGAGTATGCAGCAGCTGTATGGTGCCAATATCTCAAAAAGCATATCAATAACCTAGAAAAGATGCAAAGGCATGCTACAAAATGGCTTCTGTAACTGAAAAACAAGAGTTACAAGGAGAGGCATTAAATATCCCAAAACTAAATGATAGAAGAAAAAAAAGAGGCGATATGATCACCTCATACAAAATAATAACACGATTCGACCAAATTGACAAAGAGGAATTCCTGAAACCAGCAACTTCAAGAACAAGAGGATACAGATTCAAGATAAGGAAACAAAGGTGCCATAAATATTAGAAAGTTTTCTTTTGCAAACAGTGGTAAATGGTTTTAGCAAGCTAAGTGAGAAGGTGATAGATGCCAAAACCGTCAGTAGTTCCAAAGCGTTATACAACAAAGAGTACTGGGAAAAGGGGACACAAGTGTAGCTCTCATCTTGTAATTACACTTTGGTAATTACTTGGGTAATAAATATGAATGGGAAATCAGAGAAAATGCACCAAACACAATATACAAATAATGTGGAAAGGAATAAATAAAACTAATAAAGAATGAGACCTAGGGGTGGTTTTGGATAGTGAACTGTCAATAGAGGAACACACACAAAGAACATTATGAGTGGAGTGTAATGGTGAAAAAACTGAGGAAACTGTTCATCACTTTTGTGAGACCAAAACTGGAATATGCAGCAGTAGTATGGTGCCCATATCTCAAGACACATTAAATACATGCAGGTTAGGCTGATTTGCGCAACTCTCCCTTGCTTTAATCTAAGTGAAGTGCAAGTCATGACTTCAACCGATAACTTCAACTGATATATTGAAGTCACGGTCATCTTCGATAATGAAGGACAAACATCATATAACATGTGAATGAATTTACCAAGTACAGAGGTGGTGGTAGTAGGAGCAGAAGTCTGAGTAGGGAAGAATGGAGAAATTCCAGTGGTGACTCCAGATGTAGTAGTAGTAGTAGTGGCTGTTCCTAGTAGAGAATTACCTGTATAAGAATAAAATAAATTGTATGGTTAATCATCTGACCGCAGAACACAGCAGAATGGAAAGGCTTTTCATTGAGACTTACTCCCTAATAAGTCACAAACTGCACCTAGTTGTTTTGCCTACCAGGGACTAGTTCCCAGAACCTGGCCCTCCTCACAGAGGCAGAGAGAGCAGGTGACAATCTGCCACTTCACCAAAGAAATTTTCCAGAAAGTCAGCACAGATTTACAGACAACTGGAGGATTCACAGAAAATGAAGCATCAGAACTGCCAAACAACTACTGTACTGCAAATGAGTCACACAGAATTAAAGGAATCACTCAAACGAGCTCAAACTCCTTAGTACCAATTACCACCACCAGGCAGCTCTGCCCTGGCTCCCAGCTAGCTCCCTATGTCAGTATTGGACCTGAAGAACAAACGCAGATGAACCGACGAACCTGCAGGGTAAGAGGGAGGCAGGAAATCACCAGGGCCCCTCCAAAAATTGGTGTTTCTTTACATTTAATGCCGAGTTTCTGGAGGGAGCCCCTCGTGGCTCTCTGAAGCTAATCTATTCAGAGAGAACAAGGGCCAACAAGGGAGGAGAGGCAGCAAGCACTCAAAACGATGAGAAACCAGGCCAGCGAACACAGACCAAAGCCACACAAAACCAACTGAGCCCAAGAAAATTAACCAAGTACCTGATAGCACCCTTTTAGAACACCAGAACTCGAGCCCAAATACAAGCCCCACTAGTAAAATTAGTATAGCCAACAGTAAATTGGTACAAAACACTGCAGATGGATGTGTCCATAATAATGTTTGGATCTTTAGAAAAGGAAATATCATCTAGGGTGGAAAAGATGAAAATCTAGAAATGCTAGGTTTTGGAGAAGGCTTCACATACAAAAAAAAAAATTACTAATTTAAGGAAAGAGAAACATGAGAAGACAAGAATTGCCCCTTAAAGGTGACATTTAATGGAGTGAAACATATGACAGAAGTGCTTAGAAATACCTGGAAATTGCAGTGATGAGGATTGGAAATTTTGGTTATTAAAACAAGACCTCTCAAAGACAGACAGAAAAGCTGAAACTAAACTTTGCTGAAGTGAAATGTCTAAATGGCAATAGAAATAAAGAAAAAAAATTTCTTCTTCAAAGTGATAGGGACTGGAAAGTCAGTGAAATGGTACATAAAAACAAAGCAACAAAATCTAAGTGGAAGGGGAGTAAAGAACAAAGGGAGAGGGAACCTGTTCCTGAAAATTGTATATACTGTACCAACATAGATGGAGCGAGAAAAAATACTGGAGCTAAGATATAATTCAGCTTAAGGTCCCAGATATTGTCGCATTAACAGACAAAACTTCAAAATATTCTAAATGCTGTAGTATTCCCATGGTTTGGAGTTTCAGTTTTAAGGCTTGCCAGGAAAAATAGGAAGGGTGGAGGTGGGCTGTGCTAGTGAAAGAACATCTTAAGGTAATGGTGGTAATAATAAAAAACCCACGTGAAGTTGACATAATGGCATCGCAGGTTTAGAATCAAAGTGATAAACTGATAATTGTAAATGTCTACAGCCCACCAGCAAGCAAAACATGGACAAAGGAGGAACTAAATGAAAAACAAGAGGGCCTCACATAATGGTCATTAATAATGGTCATTAGAGAGATTATAGTAGAGCTGATAAAAATAAATCATGATTGTTGGTACAGGGGAGGGGGGGCAAATTTGACTCAAAAGCAATAGACATGGCCTACAAAGCAAGAAGAGGAGACATTTGGACAGGCAGATTTGTTAACCTCATTCTGGAGACATTCGACTATCAACACGTAAAGTAGGCAACAAGAACGAGGGAAGAGGATGTTCTGTCAATATTAATCATAAAAAAAAATTATCCCCCCCCTGCAACAAAAGACCCTCCACATATTGAACCAAGTAATAATCAGGATTGAAAGGAACCCAAGGGCACTCCCCCAGGCTTCCCCTCAACCCCAGAGGCCTACCTAAGAGGCTTGCCCAACACCTGAGACAGAAAAGCATCCTCCCAAGGAGAAGACTTGGAGCTGTATGACACAGGTGGAGGGGCATACTGTCACCTGTTTTCTGCATCTTTGAGGGGGCCAGGTCCATGCTCTGGTCCCCGGTATGCCAAACAGAACTAGCTGCGCCTGATGTGACCTTTTAATATAAAGCAATCTTAGAAAGATAGCTTCAGAGATCCACAAGGGGCTCCATTCAGAAAAAAACATGTATGGGTTCTAAACAAGCAAAAAATGCCTCGCAGACCCTATGTTTTCTTTAGATTTTGTCAAAAGAACTGTGTATTCAAATCTCAGCAATACAATTGTGAATTTATAATGTAATATCCTTATCATTTAAGGAAATGTTCTACCATCTGCCTCATTCCTTAGGACATGAAATATTAAGCACACACTTATGGAGGTTTTGGTAGTACTGTATATTGATCCTCTTGTTCATTTGGATATTTATAACACTACAAGTCAACCCTTTCTAATGCTTTTACTCGCTTACTCCTCCACAACTCATAAAATGACATCTGAGTACATTTTACTTTTAATCTTCTATTTCAAATAAAAATAAATAAAAACTAATAAAAATATATACAGTGGAACCCCGGGTTACGAGCGTCCCTGTTTACGAGTTTTTCGGGTTACGAGCCCGATTTGGTAGAAAAAATTTGCATCGGGATACGAGCATTGTATCGGGTTACGAGTTTGTTGATATGCATACGGGCCAACTTAGCACGTGGTGGCACGGCGATTGCGCCTCAGTTTACCAGTGTCTCGTGCCCAGTGAATTCTGCCTGAATTCTTCACAAGGATTTACAGTTTTTTGTCGGATTTTTGGCCATTTGAGCATAAAAGTTGTTATTGTACATCTCGCCATGGGTCCTAAGAAAGCCAGTGGTAAGGTTCAACCTAAGAAAATAGTTGTGAGTAGAGGCAGTAGAGGATGTCCCTTCCTCATTAAGAAAATGTGTGAAGTATGGGAAGAACTGCAAGGTTTTGTTGAAAAAACTCACCCAGATAAAGCTGCAGCAGGCAGTTGCATTGACCTTTTAAATGACAATGTAGTCTTACTACAGACAAGTGTTAAAATGTAGGGAAAACAAGCGTCTTTAGACAGATTCTTAAGACAAGCAAGCAGTGAGCCACAAGCTGGTCCTAGTGGTATGCAGGCAAAACATGCCAGAGAGTGCACTCCACTGCCTGATGTTATAATGGAAGGGGACTTCCCTTCCAAACAGTAACACCTCTCCTCCCCCCTCCTCACCATCTTCCATACCCCAACAGGAGTCATCAGCAGAGATAAGTAATAACTTGAGCATACTTTTGTAGTGAAGATTTGGATGAATTAGGCATAAAATTTAGTTTGAAGTGAAGTTTTTGAAGTGAAGTTTTTGGGTAGTCAGGAATGGATTAATTCATTTCCCATTATTTCTTATGGGAAAACTAGCTTCGGTTTACAAGTTTTCGGGTTACGAGCTGTCTCCAGGAACGGATTAAACTCTTAAACCGAGGTACCCCTGTACTGTATAAAAAAATGTACATTAATAATAATTATAATACTGTATAGGCCTCATTAATAATGCCATTAAATAAAATTACAAAATCAAAGAGACTATAAAATAATTATAGACATACTTGTTGAAGACTTGGAAACTGGAAAAGCAAGAATTGGTTGAGTAGTTGTGGATGTTGTTGTCTTGGCAGCTTCTGTTGCTCCTCCACCCAGTGGTTTGGGCTGAAAAGTAAATGGCGATGCAGTGGACGTTCCCAGAGATAATCCAGTTGTTGATGCAGGAGTGGTACCAGAAAGGGAAAACCCGCCACTAGATGCCGTAGAGATTGGTGCAGCAAAACTGAAGGAGTTTCCTGTTGCTGTTTGGGGAGTCCCACTGATGGCAGATGCAAGGATGCTTCCTGTTGCACTGGTGGCAGGAGTTCCTGTAAAACTGAATCCTCCACTAGCTCCCCCAGGAGTAGCTGTAGTGCCTGTGCCAAAGTTCAATCCAGTTGAAATGGATGTGGCCTGGGAAGCAGGAGCAAAACTGGATGTGGCCTGAGATGCAGGAGCAAAACTGGATGCGGCTTGAGTCGCAGGAGCAAAACTGGATGCGGCTTGAGTCGCAGGAGCAAAACTGGATGCGGCTTGAGTCGCAGGAGCAAAACTGGATGCGGCTTGAGTCGCAGGAGCAAAACTGGATGCGGCTTGAGTCGCAGGAGCAAAACTGGATGCGGCTTGAGTCGCAGGAGCAAAACTGGATGCGGCTTGAGTCGCAGGAGCAAAACTGGATGCGGCTTGAGTTGCAGGAGCAAAACTGGATGTGGCTTGAGTCGCAGGAGCAAAACTGGATGTGGCTTGAGATGCAGGAGCAAAACTGGGCGTGCCCTGAGATGGAGCAAAACTGGATGCGCCCTGAGATGCAGGAGCAAAACTGGATGTGGCTTGAGATGCTGGAGCAAAACTAGATGTGGCTTGAGGCGCAGGAGCAAAACTAGATGTGGCTTGAGGCGCAGGAGCAAAGCTGAAGGTAGATCCACCAGCACTTGTTGTAGTGTTAGCAAAATTAAATCCAGTACTGGCAGTTGTTTGTGCTACTGGAAAACCAAAGCTGTTGGTGCCAGCTGTTCCACTACCTGCAATTAAACAATACATTAATACTGTAACAATACTGTATATTACAATGTCACTGACTTTCCACAATATGCTTATTTCTTATTACTAATTGACTAACTGGATCAAGTTCAATATTTGCAATTCTATAAACTAGAAAAAATATACAAATATGCTTTCTGAACATTTAATGTTAAAGTATATTAAATAATCTGACCAAGGGTTTTGTAAATCCCACACAAAAATGTCATAGTACAATAGTGTAATTCATTTACTTCATTAACAGCCAATTTACAGAAGAAATAAATTGCACACCCAAGCACGTACTAATTCGTAAACACACACACACACACACAAAGGTATTAAATCTATATTCCCTAGATTGTAGGTGGGAGAGACACGTCATAATTTACACTTGGAAAATACTGTGACTGGTTCTAAATCTGCACACAGAATAAAACCATACGAGACCAGAAGGCATGGCAGGATGTACAAAATAGCAACACTGAAAAGCAGAGGTGCAAAACGCACACACAAATGTCGTGATGTCACCTGTCTCAGATGTCACCAGCAGAGTACCACAGGGTTCTGTATTCAAGACCAATCCTGTTTCTGATATTCAGTAAGTGAATGATTTTTCAGAGGGTAGACTCATTCCTCTCAGTGTTTGCTGATAATGCTAAAATTATGAGAAGGATTATGACAGAGAAGGAGAGCAAGAGACTACAAGATGACCTGGACAGATTGAAGGAATGTTCCAACAAATAGCTCATAGAGTTCAACTTATACAAATGTAAAGTGATAAAGTTAGCTCTAGGGTGCAGAAAGCCAAACACAAAGTACCAGTTGGGAGATTCCTTAAGGAATCGGGAAGAGAGAAAGATCTGGGGGGATATCATGCCAGACCTGTCCTCTGAAACCCACATCAAAAGAAAATCATCAGTGACGTATGCAAGGCTGGCAAAAATAAGAATGGCCTTTAGAAACTTGTGTAAGGACTCATTCTGAACCTTGTACTGTTTATCTCATATGTCAGACTAATACTGGATTATGCAGCTCCAGCATGGAGTCCATATCTAGTGAAACACAAAATGAAGCTAGAAAAGGTTCAGAGGTATGCCACCAGGCTAGTCCTCGAGCTGAGGGGTATGAGCTACAAGGAAAGACTACTGGTACTAAACCTCCCGACACTGGAAGCCAAGAGTTTGGGGAGACATGATCACCACCTGTAAAATTCTCAGATAAATTGACAGGGTAGATAAAGATAAACCATTTAACACGAGTGGTATGCGAACAAGGGGACACAGGGAAACTTAGTACCCAAATGAGCCACAGACACATTAGAAAGAACTTTTCCAGTGTCTGGGTAGTTAACATATCTGCCGCCTCAGACACTAGCTCTTACTACCTGCCTAGTATATAGTATACAGTTTTCAATAACTTGAATTTATATCAAATGGCTCAATAACAAGAAAACAACTTGCATAAGGTTATGTACAAGATCCTGTTGGTTGAGCATATTAAATTCTCTTTCACTTACTCTGTTGGAATAATGCTTTCTATGTTGGACAAGTAGATAACAAATTATACTGAATCTTGCTATAAGCTTAATTTAAATGCAAGGTAAATGTACTTTATTATAACTTACTTCCTCCAAAGTTGAATGCCATTCTGGATTATGACGCCCCAAATCTGCAAGAAAGTGAAGTAAATGAATAAAATATAATCACAAGATGTTACGCAATATGCTTAATGGTTTGGGGGGAAATCAGTCGTTGGCCTAGTGGAACTTTTTAAGGTAAATAATAAACAATGTCAAAGAATACACATGGTGTGTTTCATGTCAAGGAAGACAAGGCCCAAGTTGGATGCTGAACAGTTAAATATATCATCAGAGTAACAAATTACAGTACTGTATATGCAATTTCAATGCTAGAGCACCACTTCCTTTAAACCCCACCCAAAATTGAACTTTACAAATATTAATAAATCCCAAAAAATTTGCATTAATAAAAATTACAATTACAGTACAGGTACTAACTTTCAGATTGTGGTTTCACTGTACTGTATACAAGACAGCAATCCAAAATGGTATCAAAGGCCAGGATATCTCAACAGAAACAAAGTGGTGATCTAAGGAACAGAGGGTGAAATGAGTTACGTATAGTAAATGCAGCGAGAACAAACACCACAATCATTATAAAGAACCACGAGCATATAAAGAATGCATCTCATGATAAATACAATAATGTATGTACAAAAAGTACAATGAGTACAGTGTGTAATAAACTGTACATGGCTACTGCATGTAGAGCATTCAGTCCAGTGTCATTTTACTGAACATCTCAACTAATTGATACCATAACTATTGCATTAGCCCTAATACAACTTATTAATTCACAGAGAACATCAACAGTTTCAAGTTTCCACACACTGGTGACTAATTCAATGTCAATCTTCAAAAAACTTACAGACATTCTCCTGAATGAGCTCAAGGCCAATACAGATTCTAAAGCAATTCTGGTTTTCAATCCCCAATATTGTTTTAACAGTCTTCTTTTCACAGTTTCTTTGTCAGAAAAAAATATCATTGCTGCATGTTTGATTATGATATTTGTAGTCGAATTCATTGTTCTAAAAATCTATCTGTCTTTGATAATGATGTCAATATGTCAATGCAGGATACAAAAAAAAAAAGCCAAAAGTTATGCCATCATTCATCACTGCTATTTAAAAACGTCTTCGCAGCAACTCCTGCCCCACCAAGCCACTGGGTGACACTTCCTAAATGAAGTCGTCATACATCATTATTCCTAGATCCTTTACATGTTGCTTTCCTACTATGGGCAGATTTGATTATGTTTTGTACCTAAAACAGTATTTTGTTTAAAGTCTTTATGTTCACAATCCATATGTACCTGGAATTTATTACTGTTAAACATAGTGTTATTTTCTGCTGCCCAGTTAAAAACTTTATTAATACTGTATCAGCTTGCACTTTTTCAGGGTCTTCTACAGAAGACATGCATTCTAATACCTTTCTCTTTCCAGAAGATATGTCTGCAAATGCCTTTGCACACAACTTTGTCTTTCAGGTCTGTGTCTCGTATGAAGGTCTATTATAATGTCTGTACCTACCGAGCTGTCAATGCTGTCTGTTCACACTTTCCTGTCTACTGTCATCTTTATCCAAGCATACTGACTAAATTTACAACTCCCTGAACTGGTTTGGTAATGTTTCGTTTATTTAGGCTAGGTTATGATTGGGTAGGGTAGTTTAGGATTGAGTAGGGTAGGTTATGATTGGGTAACGGCTATGATTGGGTAGAGTAGGTTACAATTTTATTTATTTATTTATTTATATACAAGAAGGTACATTGGGTTTGTGAGAATACATAGCATAGTATTTACAATCTTGTAAAGTCACTAGTATGCGCAGCATTTTGGGCAGGTCTTTAATCTAACAGATAAATTTAGGCAAGTAAATCCTAGCAGAATTAATAAAATGATAACAGATACATTGCAAGAAAAAAAATGAGATGAGAGCGATTAGTAAGAATATTAAAGCACATTGGTATATTAAAGCTCTGATCGAGTGATTGAATTGGGTAGACTAGGCTACGACTGCGTAGGCTAGGTTATGATTGGGTAGACTAGGCTAGGTAGGTTATGATTGGGTAGACTAGGCTAGGTAGGTTATGATTGGGTAGACTAGGCTAGGTAGGTTATGATTGGATAGAGTATGCTAAGTAGGTTATGATTGGGTAGACTAGGTAGGTTATGACTGGGTAGACTACGCTAGGTAGGTTATGATTGGGTAGACTAGGCTAGGTAGGTTATGATTGGGTAGACTAGGCTAGGTAGGTTATGATTGGGTAGACTAGGCTAGGTTATGTTACGATTGTTTGGGTCATCATTGGCTACGCTAGGACACATTTGGTTACCTTACTCGCTAATTCACACAGACCGGGAAAAATGAAACAGCGTTACAATATTTGCCGACGAGCGTGTACATACAGTATACACATACATATAGTATACACATGTACGGAAGCCAGCGACACACGCCCACTGTTACACAAACCCAAACAGAGAGGCATACACACCACTCATGAAGGGGAACTCTGGCCGTAGTCGCTGACGCAGATACTGGCGGCAGTGTTGGTGGCGGTACACTGGCTCCTCATATACCCGGGTCACGCTATACCCCCCTATGGCTCAACAAATCCCCGTAAATATATACATATATCACCTTATTCGTTATCGTTACACTCTAAACATATCTATCTTAACGAAGCATAGCCTTTCTTAATTATAAACTAATGGAAATAAGTTATAATTTTTGTTTTTTTATAAGTTCTTTCCGCAGAGGGTGACGTCATAAGCTCGGGTTCAAGGATTTTGGATATCATACTGTACATTTGAACACTCACTATGAACATTAAATAATAACTAAATACAAATATACTTTTTAATAAAAACTATATTAAGTTAAAGTTTGTGAAGATTCCATTGTATTATTTATTGAATCACGATAATATAATTCGGAAATATGACAATGCCTGGTCTGGCGCCACTCAAAATATTTAACATTTTTCCCGCGATATTACAAACGATCGTTCTTTTTAACAATCTTAGCTGTAAACAGGAATATGCTGCTACCCTATTCTATATCAAAAAGATTACATAGTGTAATCACCATTTTCACTAGTTTGCATATTTTCGATATAAAAAATCGTAATTTAAAATTCCAAAATATATGCAATTGCGCTAAAAAATAACCCGGGTCATATTTCCAACAGGCATCGTATTTTGAAAACTGCAGGTCAATTTAGGTAAATATGGCTGTCACGGTAATCTCTCTAGGAAGAGATTCGGCCTGCTCCATCATCGCCTATTCTATCATATCACGTGTTCTCGGAACAAGTTCCAAGTAGCACGGGCTATGGTGAGCCCGTAACTTACCTGGCACAGGAGTGGGGCAAGTAGCACGGGCTATGGTGAGCCCGTAGAGGACTTATCTGGCACAGAAGCGGTGCTGTGTCTCCGTTAGGTAACTGTAGGACAAGACTGCTATTGTAGAACAATAGCAGTCTTAACTTTTTTGCTTTTGTTTGTTTTGTGACTGGCATTCCATCTGCCGTAGAGAGACTGCACTGACATCCATTTTTCTCGTCATAATGAGAAATAGCCGTTTTCACTAAATTGCATATTTTCGGTATAAAAAGTCGTAATTTAAAACTCCAAATATGTGCAATCACCCTGAATTGCGCTAAGTATTCATGGTATTTTTTAAACTGCAGGTGGATTTGTGTAAAATATGACAAATCTCCATTTTCCTTATTTGCATATTTCCGGTAGTCTAATAGAGAGTTAAGAGTGTTCTGCGTGTTAGCATACCCAGTGGTGTGTATCATTATATCATCAACATAGCTAATGAGGTGCACGTTGGGTTTGCTTGGTACAGAGTTTAACAGCGTGTTTATTAATATATTCAATAAGGTAGGACTGAGGCCACCTCCTTGTGGGGTGCCTAGTTCGAAGTCTCTTTTTACACTCATATGACCTAGGAAAACTACAGATGACCTAGGTTTAGTCATCTCAGCAGAGAAAACAAAGATACTAAATTGGCGCCCACCCAGGCAGGGAGGAGCTGTTCGCAAGATGCAACTGTATGATGGCTCCCAGCTTGACTGTGTAAACAGATTCAAATACCTTGGTCTTGAGGTGCCACTGTATGGTCCTGTTGTATTCAGACTGTCATCAGTATAAAGAGAGGCTCAGAGCTCTCAAGGCAGTTGCAGGTTATCACTCGGGCTGTGATGCCAATGTCAGACTTGTCAAAATGACCCACCTTGCATACATCACATCTTTAGTGGATTATGCCGCACCTCTGTTTCCTTTGATACCTGAAAGAAGGCTTGGAGGGCTTGAAAAATTGCAGAACGAAGCCTGGATAATCATTGGGTGCCCTCGTACCCAAGCTACTTACAATTTTGATGAGCTAGTTACAAAATTCAATACATATCGTCACATCAACAATGGGCTCGAGATCGAACAACACAAGTATATTTTTTAAATTAAGCAGCAGACATGTGGAAAGCTAGTGTCACAATTGATATGTTTGTCCTGCACACCGCCCCCTATCCAGTGGGCAACGGTGGATAGGTTATAATTACTTAGTTACTACCTACAGTTAGCAAACTGGGGACATTTGGCCAATATTTCTGGTAGCAGATCCTTTTGAATGAAATATTTACACATCTTTGGAACATTTGTTATAGAATTGTCTCCGAATTCACGTATCTTTTTCGCACTGCATCACATAATGACTATGATATAAAGTGATATAAAGTTTATTCCTAATCATGCATATAGTAAGCTCATGAAATAAATGGGCTGAAGCTGAATTAGGATTACAGCTCTTGCTTGCAGTTTCGCCAGGTTCCTAATATGAGAGGTCCTTTATGATAGTTCCCTATATGATAGTTTCAAAGTACATCCTCATGAAATAAATGAGTTTCTAGGAGCAGGCTTTAGGTAGGATAGATGAGCTGAGGTAGGATAACAGCTCTTGCTTGCAGTTTCACTTGGTACGTCATTTGACAGCCCTTATGATCCCTAGTCTTAATTTAACAACATAAAAAAGGAGGGAGAGAGAGTTCTACAATTTTTAGAACTTTAAAAATGTTGGGTTTAGACTAAAAACCAACACTAAAAAGAAGCAAAGAACATAAAGACAGGATTAAACACTTTAACAAAGAAATGCAAGAACTTAGTTGACAATAAATGTAGACAGTACATAATACTTAGTAAATACAAATTTAAGATACGAGTAACAAAAAAAAAAAAACTTACTACAAAGGAAAATGTGAGTGAAACTTGGAGTCATCTAGTTCTATCTATTAATCCGACTTTATGTTCGTAACTCATTTTCAATGTATGTACCTTTACCTGAATAAATATCTTATCTTATGTTATCTTATCTTCTAGGAAACGCTGGAAGTCATCATTCAGAGTTTTATAGATATAGAGAGCACTTGAGAGTATGTACAGACTTGATCGAGGATTTCAGTAAGGGAGCAGAGTGGTGTCTGGGACTGGAATTTGTGATTGTTCTAATTGCTGAGTTTTGTTGAGTAATTAGGGGTCGGAGGTAATTAAGGGTGGTGGATCCCCAGGCACAGATACCATAGGGGAGATATGGACAAAAGAGTAAATAATACAGAGTAACTAGGGTAGGGCGAGGAACATAGTATCTGACTTCGGAGAGAATGCTTACTGTTTTAGAAACCTTTTTAATAATATAGAAACCTTTTTAATAATATGGAAACCTTTTTAATAATATTTTGTATATAGCAATAAAAAAATAGTTTTTTGACATTGTGAACGCCAAGGAACTTGCCATCTACCGTGCTCACAATTTGGGTATTGTTAATTCTTAATTAATTTAATTGTTGGCTGAAATTAATATCCCAGGCAAATTCTGGCAATTAGGCTGGGATATCGATATCTATGGCAGGTGGCTACAGGTAATGAATCCTCCCCCAATGGTGAACATTCCAATTGTAAACTATGTGAACAAGAACTGGGACATACTCTCCAACACTATATCTGTGACTGCCCTGTTATCAGTGACTTCAGATCAAATGGTATGAGGTCCTTTGAGCTCTGTAACTACTTCATACACTCACGAATATTGGAAGATATTCTTGTGCTGTACCCAGATTTTGCTAGTTGAGGCTATGGGGATATTAGATGAACTTACAACTAGCTTTTGATCTATGCACTATAATCTTTGATATAAAATAGGGTAGCAGCACATTACTGTACTCACCTATTTGTGCTTGCGGGGGTTGAGCTCTGGCTCTTTGGTCCCGCCTCTCAACCGTCAATCAACTGGTGTACAGATTCCTGAGCCTACTGGGCTCTATTATATCTACACTTGAAACTGTGTATGGAGTCAGCCTCCACCACATCACTGCTTAATGTATTCCACCTGTTAACTACTGTGTATACCTAAATTTGTTAAAAACAACCACATTCAATTCAATTTCAATTTCTATCTTTATTATGCACAGCCACATTGATGTGTATACCTAATCTTGCTAATAATAAAAAATCTAAAAACAAACAAATACGAATAACAAATATTTGGGAAATACTAATAATATTCAACAAATATATATATATATATATATATATATATATATATATATATATATATATATATATATATATATATATATATATATATATATTTATATTATAAAAAATGAAAACGCCACACGTGGATAGTTACACATATTTATGCTAATAGGCAGTAACCCTTGAATACATCCTTATTATCTTTAACTTAATAACTGCGAAGAATATATTTATATATATATAAGGAATGTTGGAGGTTCCCCGAGCATAGGGCCCTTGAAGTGGCGATTCAGAGAAAATGGACTAGAAACTCTTCAGAGAAAATTGTTTACACCGCAGAGTCAGGTTTTCGATTATTGTTTTCTTTTTGAGCCTAGATAGATATGGCAGGGGGTCCAGTGGCGAGAAAATAAGTTAGTTTGTTTTACTAGCGATGCCTATAGCTCCTGAAACTTCCCAATGACAATTAATTTCCCACTTGACCTATTTTCCTGTGAAAATGAAAGGTGGCAGAAACAAAGAGGCCGCGTTTAACAATTCAGAAATCGGGGCTGTTTTCTCACGCCTTTTCGGCAACGCCTTATCTTAGTGGCCATAGAAAGGCTTTAGAATAGGTGAGACTAAAGTGTGTGACACAGCAACGGGGTTCTCTGTGCACCAGTCACCCCGCCGCGGCAGAAATATGCAATATTTTCATTGTGTGGGCTGAACGCGGCCGGATCAGCTGTGAGTGATTCTTGCTGTGGTGTGAGAGCGAGAGAGGAGGCAGAGGACAGAATCTGTTTCACCCATCCCTTAAAAACTGCTGCAGCAGGTGTCGGCCAGGCCTCCCCAACCCAGGTCCCGCCCACCATCCTTCACCATGTCCGCCGGCTGCTGTGGCACCAAGAAACCCAAGCTCAATGGCGGCCCACAGGTACAAATTCACATTTAAGAGAGCCACCAACCAGCAGGATTTTGGAGGGCATTTGCCTTACTTTGCAGCTTAGCAACGCTTACTGTAGGGGCAATATGCGGGGATGGCAGAGCTTTTGAAGGCTGGGACACATTATATTGTATGTATTCCCAGTTGTAAATATTTGTATTTAGGTAAGGGGGTCAATGAGGAAGGAAGTTTTGGGGGAATAAAGAGGTCAAGAACACGACCAAGGTTAGGCCTATCAACTATACTCATATGTCTACAGTATTCACCTTATTAAATAATCGTTTGTTTAACATCGTTATGACTGTAATTTGCCGAGAAAAGGAGAGAGGGAAGGAAAAAGAGAGAGAGATGGATAATAACAGAAATTTAACATGTGTCATGCTTAAGTGAATCAGAGTTTTTCTTGGTTTCTGAACTGTACAAGAAGGTACTAGTGATACTAGTGTACTATTGATACCAGTGTACTAGTGATAGTGGTACTAGTGATACTGGTGTACTAGTGATACTGGTATACTAGTGATACTGGTGTACTAGTGATACTGGTGATACTGGTGTACTAGTGATACTGGTGTACTAGTGATACTGGTGTACTAGTGATACTGGTGTACTAGTGATACTGGTGTACTAGTGATACTGGTGTACTAGTGATACTGGTGTACTAGTGATACTGGTGTACTAGTGATACTGGTGTACTAGTGATACTAGGTGTACTAGTGATACTAGTGTACTAGTGATACTAGTGTACTAGTGATACTAGTGTACTAGTGATACTAGTGTACTATACTAGTGTACTAATGATATTAGTGTACTAGTGATACTAGTGTACTAATGATACTAGTGTACTAGTGATGCTAGTGTACTAGAAGATGCTTATGTACTAGTGTGCTGTGTCCCAGGCATTGGGGTACATCCCAGAATTGCCGTTGAAGTAAGTGGAGCGCGAGGTGGGGGATATCGCAACTGGCACGTGGAGCCTTGTGGGAAGGTGTTTATATGGTTAGGTTACTGTTGTGAATTATGATGTCATGCATTATGATGTATTGCTTGTGTCTCTTGGAGCAAATTTACTTTTAGTATTGTGTGTTTAGTAAGAACTGGTGCATAAACTACATTTTGCTCTTAGACAATATGCTGAGTGTAGTTAAGAGGTTTAAGAATATATATATATATATATATATACTGTCTATATACATTATAGTTTCAATTTTGGAGAGTGAGATCGGGAAGTCCTTGTACTGTATCAGGAAGTCCTTGTACTGTATCAGGAAGTCCTTGAACTGTATCAGGAAGTCCTTGCACTGTATCAGGAAGTCCTTGTACTGTATCAGGAAGTCCTTGTACTGTATCAGGAAGTCCTTGTACTGTATCAGGAAGTCCTTGCACTGCATCAGGAAGTCCTTGCACTGCATCAGGAAGTCCTTGCACTGTATCAGGAAGTCCTTGTACTGTATCAGGAAGTCCTTGTACTGTATCAGGAAGTCCTTGTACTGTATCAGGAAGTCCTTGCACTGCATCAGGAAGTCCTTGTACTGTATCAGGAAGTCCTTGTACTGTATCAGGAAGTCCTTGCACTGTATCAGGAAGTCCTTGTACTGTATCAGGAAGTCCTTGTACTGTATCAGGAAGTCCTTGTACTGTATCAGGAAGTCCTTGCACTGTATCAGGAAGTCCTTGTACTGTATCAGGAAGTCCTTGTACTGTATCAGGAAGTCCTTGTACTGTATCAGGAAGTCCTTGCACTGTATCAGGAAGTCCTTGTACTGCATCAGGAAGTCCTTGTACTGCATCAGGAAGTCCTTGTACTGCATCAGGAAGTCCTTGTACTGTATCAGGAAGTCCTTGTACTGTATCAGGAAGTCCTTGTACTGTATCAGGAAGTCCTTGTACTGTATCAGGAAGTCCTTGTACTGTATCAGGAAGTCCTTGTACTGTATCAGGAAGTCCTTGTACTGTATCAGGAAGTCCTTGTACTGTATCAGGAAGTCCTTGTACTGTATCAGGAAGTCCTTGCACTGCATCAGGAAGTCCTTGCACTGTATCAGGAAGTCCTTGCACTGTATCAGGAAGTCCTTGTACTGCATCAGGAAGTCCTTGCACTGTATCAGGAAGTCCTTGTACTGTATCAGGGAGCCTACTATACTTATAAAGTTCCCCTCTAGGGCAGGATGCATTACTCTCTGTGTAATGTTTTGACTACTGTGCTTGCTAATGATTCAAGAGCAAGCACTACTGTGCTTGCTCTTTAAGTTAGATGGTCTTCCTTGCTACCATTTTTGTAGATTGGAACCATGTTAGCTTTTTTCCATATATATCTGCCAAGACTCTTGTACATAAAGATAAAAAAAAAGTCAGTTAAAATGGAGTGCTGAGCTCAGAACTGCAATGCTATGGAATCAGAGGACACTCACTTCAATACTTGCAATATTACTTCAATGACAGTATTCCCTTCAATACTTGCAATATTACTTCAATGACAGTATTCCCTTCAATACTTGCAATATTACTTCAATGACAGTATTCCCTTCAATACTTGCAATATTACTTCAATGACAGTATTCCCTTCAATACTTGCAATTAATGTTGGCATTCCACAGGGCAGTATACTTGGCCCACTCCTCTTTCTCATTCACATCAATGACCTTCCAAATGCCACTCAACACCTGAAGCCACTATTTGCTGATGACACAAACCTCATTTTCTCCTATGTTAACCCACTTATTCTAAATGGCAGTGAATACTGAACTAAAAAATCGTCTGGTTGACTGCTAATAAACCTGTCCTTAATATTGATAAAACATTTTACATGTTTGTTAAAAAGTCCCTTAATCAAATTAACCTAAAAATTAACAGTACCCAGATTAAGAACAAAATAGATGGGAAATTCCTTGATCACATTGATAACAAGGTAAATTTACATTGCCACATACAAAATATAATAAAAAAGTTTCTAAAACAGTAGCATTTCCTCCAAAATCAGATTCTATGTACTTTGCCCTGCCTTGGTAATACAGTACTGTACTGTTCACTCATCTATCCATATTTAACTTAGAGTATCTGTGCCTGGGATTCTAAAGCCCAAAATTACCTTTACCCCTAATTACTCAACATACAGTATATCAGCAATTAGAAAATAAACTCCAGTCCCAGACAGCACTCGGCTCCCTTACTGAAATCGTTAAGTATATTAAATATTAAGTTGCATCACATACCTTACCTTGAGGTTACCTTAAGGTGGTTTTGGAGCTTAGCATCCCTACGGCCCAGTCCTCGACCAGACCTCATTGCTGGACTGGTCAACCAGGCTGTTGGACGCAGTTGCTTGCAGCCTGACATACGAATCACTACCTAGTTGATTAGGTATCCTTTGGAGGTGCTTATCAAGTTCTCTCTCTTGAACCACATCATCTGAAGTGTACTCTATATTTATAAAACTCTGAACTGCAATGCTAATCCTGACCTCAAGCACTTCCTAGAGAGCTGCAACAGAACCCATGGGCACCACAATAGAAGCAAATATCCTTTTGATATTCCACGAGTGCGACTTATTCTAGGTAGAAATGCTGTGCAAATAAAGGATCTCTGTGGCATGACCTCCCTAATGGGAATAAAGACTGTACTGTACTTCTCTCAACTCGTTGAAAAGAGAAACCAAGAACTACTGGTACTTGCCTAATTAGCTTCATGTAAACTCTACTCCCCTCTTATCATCCTACTTGTTAACCTGTGTTTGCTGGTATTGTGAACATTAATTCCTAAATTTGCACGGTTAATAAATATTGCCACGTTTAAATATCACAATTTTTTTTATATTGTCTGTTTAATCTCTTCTACAATTATAAGATTATGTACTATGCTTGTACTGCTGCAAGAATTGCAGTCTTCAAATATAAAAAAAATTGTCAATCATTTTCTAAATCTTCCACAATTCAAAAATGTTCTCTTTCTCACTTAGATTTTAATATTACCCCTTTTTTGTTTTTTATTTTTTTACTTGATGCCCAAAACAATCTGCATATTAGTGGCTTTATGCATTGCACTTATCTTATTATGTATCCTCTATTGTTCATTTACCACATGTATGTACAGTTGTATAAATAAATACAATTCATATTATTATTATTATTATTTCATTCACCTGGGCTCTAGGAGACTCAAACCACGAACTCCACACGTGTGAGGCAGAAGCTCTATCCAATTTATATGACACGGGCATGGTCGTATATTCCTTGGGGCCCTTCCTTTTACTTTATTAGGCCTAGCCTAAAGTGTGTGGTTGAACCCCATGACTTTTCCTTAGGCTTTGGGTGGGCTGGTTACCTGCATTGACAGGGTTTATTGGCATTGCAGCTCCAGTGCATGGGCTTCCTGCAGGACTCATTCACCTTGTAGGTTCTAGAAAACAACCTCGGACTTGGGGAAGGGGGGTTACCATGGATACCTCTTCTGTGCCTGCTCTTGCCCTGTGCAAATTTGAGGGTTGTTAATACCTGGTGCCACTCGGGGACATATCATTCATTCTTTCTGCCTCCACCATACTGATTGTTGGGTTGGTGACACCTACGACCTAGAGTCAAGTGGTATTTGTTTCCCCCATGTGTTCACGATCACCCATTCTTCTGTGGAAGCCCAGAAATTTAAAGCAGCGCCAGTTTTCATTCCTGCAATGCTCGAGGGTTTTTGTCGTGGCTGCTTCAGCTTCTGCCTTGCTTAATCCATTTGCTGTGATACTCTGGGTGGCAGTTTCTTTGTATTTTTCACCTGACGCTTCAGATGTCTGCAGACTGTGCTGGCTCATGCTTTGGATTCAGCGTGGGCCCTGGCTCTTCTTTCAACTTCCCCTCTCTGTCCTCTGCTTTTTCCTGAGGACTCGGTAGCTCAATTTTGGTCGGGGACTCTAATTAGTTGTCACCCGGCCTCTGACTTGTATGTCCGGGATGGAGGGCCGGTTTCGTTGGTCCTCTCAGAGAGGTCGAGCCAGGTTTTTACCGGGT